TCCACCATAGACTTTGTATGTAAACCTGCTGCTCCTGACGCTGAAATCGCGTTCGGTGTGAACGCACCATAAGAAACAAACTTACCAGCTGTAGCTTCTATCACCAACCGCTACCTGGTAGAAATAGCTTGTGCAGCCCCTCGAGGGCAACACTCATCCATAGCTCCAATCGTGAACGGGCACAAGGCTACTGGTAACAACCAATCGAGAGGAAATAGTGGTAACTACAGAAGCTCTTTGCTTAGCAAAACCACACCTGCACGCTCACGAGAACAACAAAAGGGACTGAGCGCTTCATGTCACAGGACTACATAGTCACATGGGTCACCGGCAGGTCACTGTGACTTTGTTGTAATTAGTTCAAGACCTGCACATGTGCAAGAATGATCATTAAGTGCTTGAAGTACCGCCTCTGTCAGTAAGTAGGGATTAGGAAAAACTAAAGATGTTGAGCAAGAGACAGGAATTGGCTATTTATACGAATTGTTTTGAAAAATGCAGTAACTGTTTTGGACATAACCAAATTATTCAAGAAACATACCAAAGCCACTGAGTAAAATTTTAACTGTTTTTGATAGAAATGATGACTGACCTTTTTGTTAGAAAGGATGACTGTAGCTGAAACATTAACTGTTTTTGGTAGAAAGAATGACAGTTGTCATAGACAACTCTGCTGATTAATGTCTCTACCATTGTGTATCTGATTTTGTTTCATCTTAGAACTTCCTGTATTTTACTGAACTACCTGTTTTATTTTGTGCACTAACTTTGGGCCTTTCCCAATCAGTGGCTATCCCTCACCCTACTCACTACACACTACATTTGCTGTGAASCCCCCCTCACAGCTGAACCCCTTGATGGCGCTGTAATTATACACCCTCAGCTTTTGAGATGGTCTCTCCTCACACTACCGGAACAGGAGCCTGCCATCACCATAGTAGCAGTCCAAGCTCTGGCAGTGACTGAATGCTGGAGAATGAACGCCGTATTTTAGAAAGTTTTAAGATATGATTGTATTTGTAACAAATATAGTGGGATAACTTAAAACAATTGCACTTTTAACATTTTTTAATCATTTTTTTATTTTATTTTTTTTAATATGTACCAGGGTTCTGCGTCTTCTTTAGTAAAGTTTGAATTAAATTGAACATGATTTAYATAGGCCTTTGTGAAATTATATTTGTTGGTGAGGTGTTTACTTAGTAATTGTGTGCAAAGCATTTGCGGAACTTATGTTTTTATGTCCCATCCTCCATGCCGAACATTATTTAGTGCATGTGATGCCCAAGTGAGCGTTGGATGCTGACTCGCTGTGGAGGGCTTTATAAGCCAGTCGCACTCGTACGTAATTGGTTTCAGATGGGACTTAAGATGGCCAACCCTCCACAGGCACACGCAAATGGAATGAGGAGTGAGTAGGGGAAGGGAGTAGCTACTGATTGGGAAAGGCCCTTCCTCTCTCATTTCAGACAACTTCACTTCCTTAGATTCCCACTAATCACTACTGCCACACCCTAATGTTATCTACCTGTGTCACACGTGTGTCACATCTTCCATTTTGTCCATTTTTACCTCACCACTTGCATCTTCCTTTTGCCAGTTTGTCTTCATCTTTTGTGTCAAACACTCCAGCCTTTATTATATTATGTCTTCCAGTAAAACTTGAGCTTGTAATTTGAACTCACCTCTGCCCCTGTTTTGGATACCTTAGTCCCGACTGCATCTTTGTGTACTGACCCTGAACTGAATTAAAGGATTATTGATTTTATGTCACTGTGTTGAGTCTTGCATTTGAGTCCTTTTCCTGTGCCGTATGACAGAATGAACTGGCCAAAAATTGACTCAGCAGGCTCAGACTCAGTTTTGAGTTATTTGGGGCTTAGGGAAAACTAATCCACCAATAAGAGGAACAAATTACTCATCTACATCAAGAAAGACATGTGAGTGAACAACAAGACCAGTTCATGACATCTGTCAGTGACCAATTCAGCTTCCTGGTGGACCAGGTTCAAAGAGTTCATCTCACTTGGTAAATGGACTGTACTTATATAGCGCCTTTCTATCCATCCAGGACATTCAAAGCGCTTCACACTACAGACATTCACCCATGCACACACACATTCACACACTGATGATGGCAAACTACAATTGTAGCCACAGCTGCCCTGGGGCACACTGACAGAAGCGAGGCTGCCATACACAGGTGCCACCGGACCCTCTGACTACCATCAGTGAGCAAGGCGGGTAAGGTGTCTTGCCCAAGGACACAACGACTGAGTCGATTGGACAGGGATCAAACCGGTGACCTTCCAGTTCCAGGACGACTCCCCTAACCACTCTACCACAGCCACCCCACTCCTGACCAGCCTTCCAGTAGTGAGGCCTCAGCACAGACACGTTTGTCTCAAACTAATGATACTTTAAGTGGGCAGTCATCATCATTTCCTGTCCCTCCGGTTCATCTTGCCTGTCCAGAGATGTTTTCTAGGGACTCTGGAGTGTGCCAAGCATTCCTGACACAAAATGGTCTCCATTTTGAGCTGCAGTTTCACTCTTACCCCATTGAGCCAAGATAGCCTTAATTATCTCTCATCTCATGGGCAGAGGAGAGGCATAGTATACAAGTGAGTGGGAATGCAATTCAACCATCTGTGGGTCACTTTAACTTTTTACTAAAAGTTTCACTCAAATTTTGCAATACATCAGGCCAGGACGTGAGGTAGCCAGAACTTTGTACCGACTGCATCAGGACAGGAGACGTGTTTCAGACTATGACACTGATTTCCGCACCCTGGCAGCTGGCAGTGATTGGAATCGGTCAGCTCTTTTTGACACCTTTCTGAATGGGCTTTCTGGCAAACTTAAGGGTCTGTTGGCAACTTTGAATTTGCCTGCAGATTTGGACTTTCAGGACTTTGTTGCTTTGGCAATAAAAATTGATAAGAGACTATGTGAACATCAGAAAGAGAGTTTTCTTCCACCAACTTCACCCAAATCAATGGAGACAAAATCCTACCAATAATCCAACTTCCTGGTGTCCTCAGGCTCTGGAACCAGTGGCCAACATGTCTTCAACACCATCTGTAACCTCTGATGATCCCATGGAGCTAGGCAGGGTCCACCTGTCTTCTGAAGTGCGTGAACGCTGTCTGAGGGAGGGCCTGTATCAGTCAGGCCACATAATTTTCAGCTGTCCAGTCAATAAAAGAACTCCTCTAAAGAAGACTGCACCACTTTTCCTATTAACTCAAGACATGCTAATCCCACTAWTTTTCTCACCACTCCTGAAAATATGGTTGAGCAGATTGTGCTTATAGACTCTGGTTCTGATGCTAACCTGATGGATGCTTGTTTTGCAGCACAGGAAGACTTAAAGATGTTACCTCTTGAAGAACCTTTACAGGCCACAGCATTGGATGGACGACATTTGTGTTCTGTGTCCCATCACACCTCACCAGTYAAGATCRCCTTTCCTGATTATCATTCTGAGATGATTTTTCTCCTGTCAGACTTCTTTAAACATCCTATAATCTTAGTTTAGTCTTGGCTAATACTACGTAACCCACTGTGCTTGGTTAAAGAGTCAATCTACTCCTAAGGAGGGTTTTATCCCTAAGAATCAATTTATCACATTAGATCTAGACTCTGATTATCTTAACTGTCCAGGGTTCCCATCTGCTTTCATGACCTTAAAGAGGGATTCCGCAAATCACGGGCTACCTCTTTGCCTCCTCATCAGCCATTTGACTGTGCCATTGACCTGCTGCCTGGAACCTCACCCCTAAGGGACATCTCTACTCCTTGTCCTTAACAGCCAGCTATGAAAGTCTGAGTTGACTCCACTCTCAAAGCAGGCATCATACAGCCATCTTCATCTCCTGCAGGAGCAGGGTTCTTCTTTGTGGCAAAGAAGGACAAGTCCTTTTGACCATGCCTTGATTATCAGAGGCTCAATAACATCACCATCAAGAACAGGTACCCTCTTCCATAAATCTCGTCAGCTTTTGAACATTTACAAGGTGCTAAGATTTTTACAAAGWTGAACTTGAGAAATGCTTATCATCTTGTGAGAATTAGGGCAGGTGACCAATGGAAAACTGCCTTTAATACACCCATTGAGCACTAAAGCCCCTTCTCCATGAGCACAGTTCTACTCTATTGGATCATCTACAGATTGCCCATAATTTATACATATTTTCCATCATTTTGGAGGTATACCATGGATTTTTTCAAGTTTTACAGATTTTTTTCAAAACCTGTTTCAAATTTATTTAACATGTCAGAGTCAAAACTGTTAAAAAAACAATAAATAACACGAAATTACCATCTTCCAACCTTCTCTGCGGCTAGAAACAAGTTCTCCACTTCTTCCATTCGCCTTTCTTTCTGCTTTGCAGCAGGCGCTGAGATTGCCTCTAATCACTACCACACCCTAATGTTATCCACCAGTGTTACATGTCTTCCATTGTTCATTTCTACCTCACCCCATACAGCTTCCCTTTGCCAGTTCTTCTTCAACTTTTGTGTCAACCATTCCAGCCTTTATTCTACTTCTTCCAGTAAAACCTGAGTTTGTAATTTGAACTCACCTCTGCCCCTGTTTTGGATACCTTAGCCCAGAATGCACCTTTGTGTACCGACCCCAGACTGAATTAAAGGATTATTGACTTTATGTCACTGTGTTGAATCTTGTATTAGAGTCCTTTTCCTGTGCCGTATGACAACTGTATCTGAAATATTAGCTGTGAATTTGGTATAAAGAATGACTGTATCTGAAACATTAACTGTTTTTTTTTTGCATGAAATCACAGGCGCTCCWACAGATCTTCAACAGGTCACAACAAACCAGAGACACTTACTTCACCAGGTACTCTCTRTTCCTTCATTCTGCCTCTTCCTCACATGACTGCACCTCTTCATCATTCTCTGTGCTTCTCCACAGATAGACACCATGTGCTCATCCTACCTCTCTGCAGACCTCAGGTTCCGGGTAGGTAAGCGCTTTTAAGCAAATATTACACACTGATCTAAAACTGATCCTGTCTGAAGAATCTGTGCTTATTTTTCCAGACATCGGATGTTTTAGGAGAACTTTGCGTCTTGATGCTGATTCAGAAATCTAAGGTGCCTTTCTTTCTTTACCTTCTTGTCTCAACTTGTTTTAACAAATAGTCAGAATCACATTACTTCTTGTTCATAATATTTCAGGAGCAGAGAGTTCCAGAAAGCAAGAGGGTAAGTTCATAGACCTGACCAAAGATTCAGCTGTAATAGCCTCTATGCCACGGACTTTCCATCCAATCTAGCAGTTCTTCATTCTTTAGCCACGCACTGGTCTTCTGGTTCGCAGGCAACATTGTGTTAGCAAAAGATTTTTTTCACTCGACAACTCTTAATGTTCTCCACAGTACAGAATTAGCATATTACATGTACCAATATCAATACAGGAAACGTACAGGTCCAGCCAGGTGGGAAAAAAAAAAAAATCACTCCAAAGTGGATGAAAGCCATAAAAAACAAGGGAAAGACATTGTTTATGGTTTCAGAATTTAACCCTTTTCACTATTCCTTGGCTGCTTGTTCTGTGAATTTTTCCACATAGAGCTGTGACACTTATATTGTTGGAAAGAGCAGAGTCTAGGCTTTAAATTGATGGGCTACTACTTGTATGTGTCACGAATCGACAATAGTCTCAAGATGAGCGGGACCAGAACCAAGACCAGGAGCCAGAGTAAAATTCAAGTGATTTATTTACAATGTGGTGAACAATAAAAAATACAAGAATGTGCAACAAAGGGAACAAGATCCGGGGAGGCTTGGTTCAGCAATAACTGAAAACACAAGGAGAGGCAGGATGAGTCTCGGCAGAAGTTTTTAGACAAGAAGATCTTGAGGTAAAAAGGTTTTGTTGCGGTTGCTTACAGTAACTCTGGAGGCAGACAACTTGGGAGGAGGCATGTGGAAATAGAGAACCGAGGTTACCAAGAATCAAGAGAGGCAGTCCAAAGAGTCCAACAGTGAGTTCCACAGGGAGTCCAACTTGTAAGCTGATTCCAGGAGGCTGACACTGGCAAGGAGGTTGGGGAAGGTCTGAGAACAAGGGGAATAAAGACAACAAGGTTCCAAAAAACACACTTAGAAGTTCTAGTGAATAATACTTGCTGTTAAACATTAAAGCAAGATGGCCAGGAGAGGTACCCAGAAGGCATGATGCTCCAGCRAAGACCAAGTCTCAGAATGAGCCTTTTAAAGCCAGTSAGCCTCATCAGGAGAGTGGAAACAGCTGTGGGAAGTGGAGAGCCTTGGAACCAATTAAGCAGAGCAGGGCAGGCGCAGAGCAGAATCATCACAGCATGGTTTGGATCGTTTTCCCCGACGTTAGTGAACTGAAAACGTGATGAGCTTCAGGCAGGGGCGCACTCAGGTTTTGCCTACGCTGTAATATACACTCTAGCAAGTTTTTACTTTTGCATAAAACTCATGAAAAAGTTGTCTGAAATAATTTCATACTCTGTATAACACAAACACGCGCGCACACACCCATGCACACACACATGCACACACACCTTCCTTGTGAAGGATCTAATGTTCTTGTCGGAAGCAACAAAACAGTGAATGACGAACAGCTGCCTCAGCGTCAGGCTCTCAAACTGTTCCTGTAGCTGGTGGATTTCCTCCTGGATAATATGATTTACCTCCAGCACTAAATACACAACTGCAGAGTCTGGACTAGCAGCAYAATTGTGATCCTTAGAACGTCTCTTTACCGGCTGCTGTTAGCTTCCTCCTAGTTGTCCTCTGGAGGTGGTCTTTGCTCTCAGGTCTTGGCAGTAAAAGGGGATAAATGTACATTTCCCTTTTTTAACCTCCGTCTTCTCATTTCTGTTGCTGACTCTTGAATATCCTCAGGTTAGAAGTGCTGATTACAAACACGAGCGTGAGCCTATAGCTGTTTTCCCTGTATTGCTATGATCCAYWGCTGTCRCCTTTACTCCTCATCAAGAGGAAAATGGATAAAAACTAACTACTCGATCGTACCTGCTGGTTGGTGGACACAACGGCACACAACAGAACTTATGTTTTATACCAGTAGATCACAGATGCTTTAACTTTTGTGACTTTTTCACGGACTAGCTAACGCTAAAAACAACAGGCAGTAGGTAGGAAGTGGAAGGGAGGTGCGTGGCAAGATTTTTAACGTAAATACATCATCAGTGGCCGTGGCATATAGGCTACTGTAGTGTGATGTTCGTTTACATGTGAGTGTTTTGTTTTTGTTTTACCTCCTGCACTGTATGTGCAGTTTTTATTCCATTACTCCAGACCCCAGGCTGTAGACGTGTCTCAGGGGGTAAGTAAGTGAGGAAACAAACAGCACTGTTTGCTGCTCGGCTTTTTAGACCTGCRTCACACAGATCCCTCCTTCTGAATGACCCACCTGATCCACTTTACTTTGTTGAAGATAATCTGCCTGTTATTTCTGTCATGTTAAACCTATATGCATGTAGCTTTACACATTAGAAGAAAAACACACGGACAGACTTCCTTCCTGTTATTGAAGCATGACACATTATTGACATGGCTGCAAGTTCACTTTGTTTTCTTGGTTGCATGAAGAACTTTACTGCCTCCTCTATTTGTTAAAGACAAAAACAATTAAATATTTAGATGCTGCATAGCGATAGCATATAAGACCCCTGCATGTACACAAAGCACCGGTGCACCAGAACTCACCAGAACAGACTTGTTTTGGGTGGGAGTCCAGTGAGGTGGGTGGGGCTCATTGTTGCACCTTATGGATAGGCCTTCATCAGAGCCCAACAAAAACTCTGAAGCTCCTATGTTGAATAGTTTTWGAGTAAAAAGCATTTTTTGCATGTTCAGATACCCCTTTTCAGATGGAGCCCCATGCTCAAATATAGGGTCCATTATAAAACCATTGGTGGGTGCTGCATAGGTCCGATATTTAAAATCCTATCAAATTTCATGCTGCTAAGAGCATCCTAAATTTTTATGTTTTGGGTGGGGATCGGGGTGGGGTGGGGGCTCATTGGTGGGCCCGAAGGAGCCCTTCATCAGAGCTAAACAACAAAAACAAATCTGACCCAAAAAAGTTGGGGTTGGCTTGTTGTCTGCTCTAAAACATCTTCTTTTATATCCTTACATGTTTATAAATTTCCTGTATTGTCATTTCATTAGCATACATTAAAACCTAATAAATAAATAATTAGAATAACACAGTATTTATTCGTGTATAATACGTAAAATTTAATCCATAAAATCTTCTATAAAGTTGGGGGGTAGTATTATACTCGGATAAACATTTTTACTTATGAATTTTAACTGAAATATCAGCAAAATTATTGAGTCCTGAAATGAGACCGCGTCGTAAAAAGCAGTTGAAACGAGCTTACCTCTGACACTCCTCTGTGCTTCAGAGCGAGATAATAACAGATCCAGGCAGGCGACATGATGTGAAAAAAAGTGGGGGAAAGCAGTGCTGCAGCTCAGTAATGGTAACGAACTAATGACATTAGCGTATGACCAGGCCGCTGCTGGAACAACAACAAACACATGTTC